TGAACTACATAGTGAGATTCTGCCTTAAAAATAAAAAAAGACAATTACACGGACTCTTTGGAATGTTCAACAAAATAGATAAACTTTTATGTAGGCTGATTAAAGAAACAGAGAAGACCTAAGATAATAAATGTGGAAATGAAAGAAGATATATCTCTACTTGAAGAAATAAAATGATATGTGAATCTTTTGAAATATTATATGCCAACAATAATGTAACTTAGAATAAAGGACAATTTCCTGGGGAAAAATTACTAAAATTAATTCAAGAAAAAGTATGGATTTTTAACAAAATTTAATTGCTAATTAATAACACTTTATAAAATTCTAGTCCTGATAGGTTCATTAGCAATTTCTGCCAATCTTTTAAAAAAGAATTGAGAATAATTCTTTATAAGATCTCCCAAAATGCAGAAGGAGAAATGCTTCCCAATTCATTTTAGAATGCAGCATTACCCTGATACTAAAAGAAAGGCATTGCAAGGAAACAGAACTACAAATGCCTTATAAATATAGAAGCAGAGCAGATGTTCTCAGAGTACCAAACTAAATCCAGTAACATATATACATTATTATCCACCATAAAAAGAATTTATCCCAGCAACATAAGGTTGGTCTAACAAGCAATAATCAACAGACATAGTTTACTATATCAGTAAAGGATAAAGACCACATGATCATCTTTTTATTTTTGTACCGGGGATGGAACTCAGGACATTGCGCTTGCAAGGCAGGCTATGGCACCGCTGAGCTAAATCCCCAGCCCCACATTATCATCTTAATAGACACTGAAAACAAAATATCTGACAATATCTGGCACTCATTCATTAAAAAAGAAAGTATTCACCATAGTAAGAATAGAGGGGAACTTCTTTAATCTGATGAAGAGAAATTAATGAAAACCAGCTAACATGGTGGAAGACTGAATGCTTTCATCTTAAAACCAGAAAAAGGAAAGGATATCCACTATGGACACTTCTCTTTACCATTATAGTAGATCTTCTAGCCAGGAAAATTGGTCATGAGAAAGAAAGAAGGAAAGCTAAATAAATATCTCTGTCTGTTAATGATATCTTTCATACAGAAAATCACAAGGAGTCTAGTAGATCCACTAGTAAACAAGCCCAGCGCAGTTGTAGGATGCAAGCTCAACAAACAAATATCACATCTGTGTACAAGTGATGAAAAATTCAAAAATGAAAGTTAGTAGACAAAACCATTTAGAATGCCTTCAAAATATAAAGTACTTAGAAATAAATTTAAGAAAAAGTGCAAGACTTGTATATTAAAACTATAAAAATTTTGAGTGTAAAGAACATTTAAATAGAATAAAAAAATCTCATTTTCATAAATTGAAATATCTAATATGAGCAATAAAATTCTCCTTTAGTCTAGATACATACCACTTTTAAGTAAAATAATGGTAAAATTTTGATTAGGCAAATGTGATCCAAAAAAGTTTTAAATAAGAAAAACTAATAACTGGAAGAAAACACCAGAAGGAATGCAGACATACCTAAGGTACTGTTTGATTGTTTTCATCACATGATAGAGGCTCCAATTATCTAGCAATTGATAGAATTCTGAGAAGTAATAGAGAAATTCATAATTGTAGTTGAAGTATTAACCCATACCACTCAAAAATGTATGGACTAAAGAGAAACATTGAAAATTATAGAAGATCAGAATGATAAATCCTAAGTTCTAACATAGGATAGTGGTTAATAACATTCTCGTGGAATTCAGGAAATTCAGAAATCTGAGAGCAAAACCTCAGCAATAGGTGTTAGAATAGTCAATTGAGTAACAATTCCAAATGGAAGCTCACAGCACATCTTTAACTCCTTACTATGGGTGGTATAAGCAAGGGCCTAAAACTATAAAAAGTGCTGGCTGATCTTCTGGCGCTCCATGGAAGGGAGCATGGTCCAAGGCTCAGGGGGCTCAGCACAAACATAGGGCTGTCTCACTGTTGAGGGGCCCTGAACAGAAGGCTACTGCTGCTTTACGGACATGAAGTCTGGGGTGAGGGCAAAGAAAAGGGCTATGAGCAGCAAGAACTGAGGACTGAGTCAGAATAGAGAGAAATATCTGCAAGATTTTCCAGTAAAGATACTTCCGAGTAGAGGTCCTTCAACCAGGAATGTAGACATGCAACGTATGTGAATGTGAACACGACGGGGTCCTGGAGAACTGCTTCCTCAGAGGCTTCTACTCCCTGGCTTTGCATCTAGTCCATTATGGAGAAGGCAGTTTTCCCCTCTGACTCCTGCCAGGTAAAGCCTTTACATCTAAAAATTCACACATTATTGATCATTTCATAAAATTCTCAAAAATGTAATCCAGAACCAAATTGCCTGGGTTCTTACCCTGCCCCATAGTTCTGCTACTTACTACCCATGAGACTATGAGCACAGTATTTTATGCATTCATTTTCCTATTTGTTAAATGGGAATAAGTTTGTGATAGAGACTACATTGTAAGTACTCTAAATGTATTAGCACTTGTTTATATTTGTATATGTAGAGAGGCACAAACATACATTCATGAATATATATCTTTATTATGTGCATACATGATACAAATACATATTTTGCATGCATTTTGATATATGTAATTGTTGGATTTATTCACACATATATAAGATCTTGGTGATTTGCAAGAATCATTTCATTCTCTCATCAAAAGACAAAATTGAAAGTTTCATCCATTACTGTACCTCAAAGTTGAGGGTATTCAATGACACTTCCTCTTCTCCATCAGAAATGAATATGGTTATTTCTGGTTGATTAACATAAAAACCAGAGAGATGGTTGTTTGTTGTTGTCCTCTTACATGATGCACAGTAGTAGACCAGGCACTGGCTACCTACCTTTAAAAACTCATTCAGAAAAGGAGGAACTAGGAACACATTGAAGTCATCTAATCATAGCAAAAAATCTTATTTGTGGAGAGGGATTTTGTAAAATCCTCTGCCCTAAAAGTGTCAGAATTTATTACTATTATAATTTTTAATAGTAGTGTTAGTATCTGGTAGTAGTTGTAGTAGTAGTAGTACATGTTTGTAGTACTTGATGATTGCATTCCTTGTGTGGAGTTGGTGTAGGTAAACAGCACATCTTAATTCCTTTTTTCATTCCCTTTCCCTCCCTCCCCTCCTTTTCCATCTCTTGATCCCTTTGCCCTTAGAGAAAATTAGATGTTGGATTTGTTTTATTGGGCAGAATACCTCCTGGCTCCTCTATTTGTGAGGTTTTCACTTTTTTATCCTAATTCACTAATCTAACAAGACCATGGAAGATTATGTTTTCTTTGAAGGGCAGGAACTGTTATATACTTTCTTTTGCTTTGAAAATTCAATTTTTATTAGTCTATAACACGCAATTTATACCTTTTACTATGGTATAAATCCTTCAAAAAAGTATCAGATTCCTCATGCATTTTTCTCCAGTATCTTCTACAAGCCAGTAAGCAAAGCCAAGGTTATAGGCTAGACACTATTTTAAGTGTTTGTTTATTTCCTTTCTTCCTCTCTCTGTGCCTTCCAGGTCTTCTGAAACAATAGGCTTGGAAGGAAAGCCACAACTTTTCATTAGAACTTTGTCAAAGGGTTAAGCATCTCTATTTAACTGAGAAGACTTAATATACCCTCACCAGTGAAGTCTTCTTTTTAAAACCTTTCTTGCTACACGAGGTCAAGAAGCCTGTGGCTTTTATTACTTGGCTCAGCATTTATGGATCTTTTCTATTGCCTTTCCTTTCTGCTTGAAAACTGATCAAATTTATTGACTTTATATATTGGTACAAGTAAGCAACCTCAAAGTACAATAACTTTCTGCCTCTTTGCTACATTGTATGAGTTAATAAGTTTTTGAGGAACTTGATCTGCCTTCCAAATGATTACAAGCACCTAATAAATGTCTCATGACTAAAAAATTATGACATTTTCTGGCCACCGCTGGTAGGAAATCAATAGCAGTTAAGTTAGTGACACATATTTTGGGTTTTAGTTATGACTCCATACCACTTTAGATACTAATTCTTTATTACTAAATTTGAAGTATGTATTTTTGAACAATGTTAAGTAGGGAGCCAGTTTTCTCAAGACCATTTCTCACTATACAGTAGTGCTTTTTAAACTTCTTTTTCTTTTGCTACAATTTACAACAAAACTCAGTTTATATGATCATACAAAAGGCACATGCACAAACAATCTAAATAGGACATGTCTAAACTGAGATGTAACTGGTAAAATCATACATGTGATATGAGCACCCTAAATTTCTTTCATATTGATAAGCTGATTCTTTACAGTAGATTTTAGAAATTTTCTTGAAAAATGTTGAGTATTTAGCAATGGCACATAATATTAACATGACTTATATTAACATGACATATTGAGAACTAACATTAACATGACTTTTGTATACTGATTATGATGTTTTGTTTATTAAATAATTAATAAAATGAATATATTCATTCTATGACAACTGTTTTATTTAAAATTGCATATGTATTGTTATACTTAAAATATATATTAAGTGTTAAGTTGTAGCTTCATTTGATCTAACTCTAATATTTAATTACTATTAAGAATCAAGCATGAACAGTGAGAATAGAATTTATATTTTTATTCAGTATCTAAAAAGGACCTTATAATTATAATTAGTATTAGTAAAAATACAATCTTACAATTAAAGTTCCAAGTTTTCCATTTTAAACAGACAATGACATTATGTAATTCCTAAAATTTGAAGTATCATGGAAGTATCTGCTTCTATCTGCATAAATGTGTGTGTATTAATATGGGACAGGAAACAAATTTCTAAAGTTGACTAGGAACCCAAAATAGAATATCATTGCAGCTCTCCTTAAACAACTCTGAAGTAAAAGAAAATACAAAACTGGAAACTTAGAATTCAAAGATTTTTTGCTTTATTTCTTTACATTATTCTGTGGTTTCTGAATTTATAACTTACTTTTTCTTTTTAAGGCCCATTAATAGAACAACACATGAACATAACATTGTGTGGAAGATGCTGAAGACAGTTCCAGACTTAGCCTCCCAGCTAAATGATGAGCATCTGAAAACACTTAGCAAGAATATCATTTCTGAAACCTGGGTCAAAGGGAGCATAGGTAACAGAGTAATGTATAGTACATCTGTCAGGATGGAATGCTTGTATCTATGCTGATTTTTCTATCATTACAATGTTTATAATTTCCGTTGACATTTAAAAAGTATACGATTAGCCTACATTCCATTTGTGAGATTATTAGTGAAATGAACAGCACCTCATGTTTTAATATACAGAGCCTAAGATGTACACTAATGTGCCCCCACTTTGAGCACACAACATCCAAATTACTGAGACTACTCAATGAAACACACATTGGTGGGTTTAAGCCCCAGAATTTCTCATTCAGTAGACACAGGATGCAGCCTAAATTTCATTTCCAGTAATCTATCAACAGATATTACTAGTTTGGGGATCACACTTTGAGACCCATTCACTTGTATTCACATTTAGTAAAAATCTCTGTCAAGACAACAAATGATCAAAGTGCTTATTTGCCCAGTCCAGGTGCCATTCTAGATTTTGGAAAAGAACTCTCTAGACAGATATTAGTTTTCCAATTTTAGCATTCAGTTTCTTTTCTAGGAATATAGGAGGTACATAAATAGAAATTCATATATTTAAATATTTTAATGGGGAAGCAAATAGCACATACATTGTGGGTCAAGGGGATCCATTTTTTATTCCTCAAAGAAACAAATAAAGATGGACATTGCTATTATTATTATTTTCCACAGATAAAACCCCCAAGACACAAAAATATCATGCAGAGAAACCCTGGTTATCATTGAGTTTCAAATACACTTCTGCAAATGAGAAACTCATTCTCTGTGCATTGTGTCACTACTGCTTATAAAAAGTGGTTCGGCAGGATCACAACATTTAAAAACTAACTAGAATTTTAGAGAATGTGTCCCCTTGAAAAATTTACATATTTTGAGAGTTTTCCCCCAATGGTTTTCTCTCATAATTAGTTCCATTTAATCAGAGTCAAGCAGTGAAAAATAAATCAAAAGAGTTTTCCAGAGATTAAAATGCCTTTAAAGTGATAAAAGAACAACTATTCAACATTGGTTTGCTTATAGCTTGAAGACAGCAATTAAAAATTAATTTGTTTCATAAGCTCTGAAGTTATGCTTAATGGTAAGAAATTTTAGAACAACCTAAATGTCTTCAGTAGAATATTGACTACACACATTGTGGTTTCTATTTCATGGGATTCTAGACATTGGTTAAAAGGGATATGTTACATTCTACCTATTTATCTATCTATCTACATATATGTGTGTGTATGTATATTTAGTGTTTAGAAACAGAAAGGTAGTAAAAGAATAGAACAATTGCAGAATTATATAAATATTATACATGCACACACATCATCTTTTTAAATATATAAGAATGAGCTCAGCAAGATGATCCAAAAATATACTGCCTCATGAAAGACAGTAGAATTGGAAGGTGCTATGGTTTGGGTGGGGTTTGAGTGATCCCCCAAAGGCCTGATTGAGGGGTAGGTCCCAGGGTGGCACTGCTGGGAGGTGGCGAAACTTCTGGGAGGTTGGCCCTGGTGGGAGGTCCTTAGACCATCCAGGGTGTGAGGTGCTTTTTGTGGAAACATTACGTTGTTGGGGGAGATTATTATAAAAAGAGAAAACTGGTCTTGTCCATCTTTTTCCTTTCTACTCCTATTTGAGATGTTATTCCTCCAACTGCCATGATGTGCTGCTATGATGTCCTTACCAGAGATTAAAGAAATGGAACTTCTTTAATCTTGGCTTTTGAACCTACAAACTGTGACCTACACAAAAATTTCTCTTCATAAAATCAGCTTCCTTAGATATTTCATTGGAGTAACAAAAGCTAAAAAAAGGCAATAGAGAGGAATAATTCAGCATTCTACATATATTTGTGTTGGTCTAATTTTTCTATAATGAATGTAGATTCATGTGTCAGTATGTATAATTACACATTTATTTATTTATTGGTTTTTTTCTTTTCTTTTTTTTTCTTTTTTTTGGTACCAGGGATTGAACTCGGGTCCTTGCGTTTGCGAGGCAGGCAGTGAAACCACTGAGCTAAATCCCCGGCCCCTTCACACATTTATTTTTTGAAGAAAGTTCTATATTACAATTAGAAGCAAACATTTTATTCTGATGACATCTTAATAGATCAAGATATTAACTATTAAAATATGAAAACAGTAACAAGCTATCAACTTTAATGTAATTATTTACATTAAATAAAGCACTAAAACTGGGGCATATTTTCAACAATTTTTAAAACACTTATAAGTTTTTGTGTTTACATTTACCTGTGTCAGAATCCTCTTGGGTTTGTACAATGTCTAGTTCTGACAATTCAGCCCTGATTCACAATCAAAGCTGTCAACTCATTAAATATCTGACCTTTGTAGATCTCTTTGTTCATCTAGCTTAAGAAACAAGCCCAACTAGGTGTCTGTTGTGTCTCCTTTTTTCTTTATTCATGGATGCTTTTCCTTCCCTCTGTTGTTATTAAAAGTTTTCCCTTACCTCGGCCCTCATCACCAGGCTGCTGACTTTCAATCTGCTGCAGAGGTTTTCCTTTCCCTGGAGCAATTCCACACAGCTGTTTGCACCTTCTGATCTCCCTCCCAGCCAGTAGTTCTTCAGAGCTGAATTATTTAAGGAAGTTTCCTAAACTTAGAGCTATTTTCTCAGCCTCTTATACATTCAGCTTTTGTAAACAATAAAATATTAACAAGGAAACAATATTATGATTTTTAAAGCAGTAAAATGTATTTCAGGTTTAAGTGATCATTGTACTATACCATACTTACTATTTTATATAATTCATTTACTATGACTACTATACATAAATTAATTATTAAAGTTACTACTTATCTATGTCGTATATACGTATATATAGATATAGAGATGTAGTTTACTGAAGTCAAATAATCTTAAGGGTTTTTTATTGGATCTCGTAATTTATGACATGGTAACAGGATTTTTAAAAGATTGTCAACCTCATGAAAACTAAAAAATTTTACTTGTTTGAGATCTCAATTTAGTAACTAACCTGGAACTAGACCCCAGATAAAAAATTCAGTATAATTTGCCTTTACCTTTCTATTCAACCAAGTTTCTATAAAATGAAGAATGTATTTTTTTCTATTTATATCATCTTTACTATGTTATCTTTACTAGAACCTTATTAAACCTTACAGTATTATTTCTCTTTTAGTTCTTCAATTTAACTTTATTTTTTTCTGAGTTTTTGTGAGGTAATAGATCAAAGATTCCTTAATTTATTTTGACAAAATTTTAGATTTCATTTTAACGCTGAAAATATTTTGTATTACTAAATTTTTAACATTTCCCTTACTTGTATTAACAATTTTTTATTATGGTTTATGTTTCATGTAGCATATACACTTGATCTTAACCAAAAGGCCAAGAAGCGATTCATGTAGCATACAAAAATACAGTAGCTAAGTCTCATGAAGTATGGAGTGTGCATCTTTTCCATATGTAAATTAATCAAAACTCAAATAATATACTCTTGTAATAAAAGCAACAAATTTAGTTCTAGGGTATATACTATGGTTTCCTTTAAGTTATACATGGCCTTGAAAAATGTGTATTGATCCTAAAGTGAAGATATGCTTTCTTGGAAACTGAAGTTTTTATAATTATAATTGCTACTAAGGAAGATACAATCTTAAAATTGAAGCATTGAGTTTATTTTGAAATGCATTAAATAATTTCCTAACATTTATGATATCATGGAGGTGTATCTTAATGTTGAAAAGCGATCAATATTGTGTGTGCTTTTGTAAGCTCATATATTGAATCCTTTGTAGATAACACAGTTTAAATGAAGGAATGAAATATTTTTTACTGGAAAAAAAAATCAAAGGTCTTCACTTTAATATGTGTGATCCAAAAACAAAAAAATATTTTTGAAATAAGAAATATTTTTAGGGTTGTTTTGTGTAAGAAAGTATAATTTAAAGTTTAAGAACTAATAGGTTTAAAGTGATAAAATTCAATCACCAACAAATTACAAAATCATAAATTCTCTTTTTATAAACCTACAGATATGCAACTGTATTTAAAGTAATTTACTATATATTGTGCCTCCAATAAACTCATCATAAGATGAAAATATAGTCAGTAAAATAAAAGCATTAAGACATATAACCAAACAGCATACCTTACACCACTGAGTATTGATTGTTTTACCTTGGAGGTTATGTGGCTTACTGGGAGCTGTGCAGGCTGCTACTGCCCAGCATGTGGAGAGAACATCATATGCCATTTTAGTAGCCTGGAAATAGATTAAAATTCAAAACTGTTATGTGTATGAGGAATTCTCAGTTTGTTCATTTTTCCCCCTTTATAACTGACTTGGATGAGAGGGGCAGCTTTAAAAATTGGTACATTTGCAGTTTCCCTTACCCAATGTCCTGTGACCCAACATTCCAAGCCTGGATGATTTAATTGGCAGTGTCCTTTTAGAAAATGGATCTAAAGAAGAAATTCAGCATCTGACAGTCATTTGAAAACAACCCGATTTATCCTTATCTCCACTTCCATAGAATTTTTCCATGAATCCCCCAGGCTAATGACAAAGCCAATCAATCAGTTCACACTCTGTCCTAGCCACCATGTCTCAACCTCTTGTCAACTTGTAACCCAAACATATCTACTTAAACCATATCAAATCTCCAAATAAAGACAATTGCAACTTCATAATTCTACCTAATACAATACAACTTTCTTGCACATGACTAGAAATTAAACAATCCCTCCCCAGAAGTTGAAATAGTTTGGGCATGTTTCAAAAGTCCAAGTCAATGTCTCTTCTGAGATGCAACTCAAAAGTCTTAGCTGTGAAACGTTATAAAATCAAAATCAAGTTACATAATCACAAGGTACAATGGCACACTGTAAATATTCCCTTTCCAAAAGGGAGAAATAGGTGGCTAGAAAAGAATAGGACTAAAGAAAGACTGAAGCCCCTCTGTGTAAAAAGTAAATCATATAAGTGCATATTGGGCATCCATAGCACATGGGG